TGATTCTCGTGTCGTCTCGTCTCGTCCCCTCTCCTCTCGTCTCGTCTCCTTTCCTCAAGTCTCGTCTCCTCTCGTTGATTCTCGTGTCGTCTCGTCTCCTCTCGTCTAGTCTCGTCTCCTCTCGTCGATTCTCATGTCGTCTCGTCTCCGCTTGTCTCATCTCATCTCGTCTCCTCTCGTGTCGTCTCCTCTCCTGTCTTCCGGTCTCCTCGTCTGTTCTTGTCTCGTGTCATCTCGTCTCGTGTCGTCTCCTCTCGTCTCGTCTGGTCTCCTCGTCTGTTCTCATCTCATGTCGTCTCCTCTCCTCGTCTGTTCTCGTCTCTTGTCTGTTCTCCTCTCCTCTCGTCTCCTCTCGTCTCACCTCCTCTCGGACGTTGTGTCTCTCTGCAGCGTGTGCATTTCTAAACATTCTCTCTGTTAGACACGCTCTAAATCTGCAGCGGTGCACTGAGTGTGTGTGACTGCTGCTGTCCGCCTGCTTCTGTTCCTCTGCAGGGACAGGACGGGGACCATCCTCTCACAGACAGAAATAGCACACAGATCAGAGGCACAACTCAGGAGAACATGAAGCATTCGAAAACACAAGAAGCTCCAACACTTTTACACAAAAGACAATAGTATTGCTTTAAAAATAGACCACGGAAAAGTCATTACACCATATATATTTTGGCATTACACCATAACATGATGGTAATACCATGGTATTCTTTGAAGGTTCTTGCTATGCCTCGTCAATGCATGGTATATGAATATGACAAAATGTTGTTTTGATGTTTTAAAATGGATTGTTAGTAAGACAAGCGTCACTATTAACATTTCTTATACTTTGCTCTATGTACTGCGTAAAAAAAAATCTGTATTGATTTTACATCAGTGTTTTACCCATGTTGTGAATTACACATCACATTGTGTTGTGTTTTAGGGTGAACGGAAATATCCATTAACTAAAATTACCAGTAACTTTTCTATTTTTCTATAGATTTTGTTGAAACCTATGACGTATTTAATATTATAAGAACCCCCCAAATGAACTGTGATGTTAGTATGAATAACATCAGCATTCATATAGTAATGATTGAGATCAGTTGAATGTCTTGACCTGTCCTTGTCCTTAACCTCTCACACTGATCGGTAAACGGCTACATCAACGGCGACTCACTTTTCATTCAATTTGCCTGTAAATGAGGCGAGAGAGGATGTAGTTTGACGTCACACAGGTCTATCATTCCATCTCTATCGCATTGCTTTCTCCTGACTCGGCCATTAAACGCAATTGTCTTAATCGGTCCATCAGTGAACCACTTAGATCAACACTGCTGGCTCTTCAAATGAGGAAAGTGTGACATCTTCTCCGTGAAGGATCCTCTGGATGCTGTTCGCAATAGTCTAAATGATGGACAAAGGAACGTTTTTCACTGCGTATATGAATCCCTACAGTATAATGACTCTGAAAAAGCAGCTTGAACTCCTGTTTTTGCTACTGTACCTTTAAGAGTTCTAAATGTCCTCTGTTGTGATTGGTGCTTTGATCTCTGGAAGTTCTAAAACTCTAAAACCTAGTACTTTGAACTCTTTCAAAAGATCAAGGAATATGTGATTTTTTTTTTTTCCATGTGACCTCCGTTTAGCAACAATCTTTGAACACTGTTGACCTGAGAGATGCAGCCCACTTTCATGTTGGTATAAAGCTCAACACACAGGCAATTATTCTCACAAGTGTTTGAGGGCGCTTTACAGGTGCTACACACACACGCCTGCGTCAGCATGATGCTGCTGTGCAACAGGGAACACACACGACTGCAGTGCGAACGCCTCCGGTCTGACCTGCTTTCTTTGTTGTTTTGCGTAGATCATCTTTCTGTGTCCGTAAAAACACAGTTTGAGGGATGTTTGGCTCGGGAACCGATGATCTGAGGGTGGGGTTTGGGGTCGTACGTTGTCTGAAGAACAAACACGGACTCTGTGGATCTGGATCTGAGCAATGAGAGAAAACAAGAACGTGTTTTTTACGCTGACATGAGTGTTTCTTCATCAACCTGTCTGGACCTCATAGAAAATACATTTGTTGAAAACACTTGCACACTACACTCTTAGAAGAAAAGGTTCTATATAGAACCTTAAAAGGTTCTATCAGCGCTATATATTTGGAACCCCTAAAAGGTTCTATACACTCTTGGGGTTCCATACTTGGCCAATAGAACCTTTTACCAAAAAAAATGGTTCTATATAGAATCATTTTGGAGTTCCATATATGAAGCGGGGGATGGAACCATTTCTGGTTCTAAATAGAACCATTTCTTCTAAGAGTGTAGTTTAATAAATTTAGTTTTTTAACAATGGATGTACATTTTATCTTTCAGCACCATTTTTTTGTAATACATTTTTTTAATCAAATGATATTTACTTATTTTTATGTTTCATATTTCATCTTGAGCATTTCTGTGACTGTCGTCTACTTGGCAACTGTTATTTTAGCATAATTGAGATACTTTTAGTTTTTATTCATATTTTGATTTTAATTAAGCTTTCATTTTAAATCTAAATTAGAGTTATAATAATAACAACGAGATAATTTCCATTTTTATTCGTTTTTTTAAATGTGTCTACATAGTTAAATAATTTTTTTAATCATCTTTATTATTAAGTATTAATTTTTATTTCTGTTTTATTTAGTTATTTTACTACTCAAGTTAAACTAAATGAAATTGAGCAATGTTGATAGTAGTTTAAAGAAAACTTTTTATATTTCATTTGAATTAAGTCAACATTTATTTCAAGGAACAAAAGGGTTTTTTATGTTTTTTATTTTATCAAACAATAAGATCTGTTTTATTAGGAGCAACAGCTATAAGGGACAGTAAAAATGGCTATATGAATCATTGCCACACAATAAATATTGAAATGGTTTGTCTCTATTTCACAATAGTTTATATATTTCACTATTTTATCCTCCTGATATAGTCAATATTAACACATTAAATCATTTAAAATGATAATTCACAACTAATGACCGGTTTTCTTGGGTGCAAGGTTATAATCGTTAACGAAAACTAACGAAAAAACGAAAACTAGATGGGAAAAAACATTGTCGTTAACTGAAATAAAAATAAAAACGAGCCATTACAAAAAAACTATAACTAACTAAAACTGTAATGTCTGTTTGCAAAACTAACTAAAATAAAATAAAATTATAGAGCAAATGTCCTTCGTTTTCGTCTTTGTCAATGCCGTTAATTTTAACGCTATTTAAAACACGCAGTGTATTTGTTCAACTGCATTTAATTTCCCTGTAACGCTCTCCCTCCGTCTCTTTCACATGCACGCGCACACACACCTACACACACAGCCCCTCCCCCTCCATGCAGTACACACCGCGTCTCCGTGAAAACGAGCCAACGAGGGTTCGATCAATGTTGAAAGCAAGTTCGTGAAAGGTTGGTATCTCATCATGAACATTACACAATCACACATTAAAAGGTGGTATATTATAAATTCTTAATACAATTCTGTCAGTGTGTTAATGTCGACCCGAGAAGCGATTGAGCCTTCGTTAGAAAAAGTTAACTGACTTAGTCGCAATTTTGAGGTAAAATGCTGCTGGGTTGTCAATGTCAAAAGTCTATAAGCTGTGATTCAAATATTAAATAATGTTATGTCATTATTACTTGGTAACACTTTATTTCGATAGTCCACTTTAGACATTCAACTGACTATAAGTAACTTGTCTACTACAAGTAAACTTATTCTCCTAACCCAAATCCTAACAATAACCATAATCTAACAGTCTACTGTCAGTCTACTATAATATAGCCTACTAATACTCTAATGAGAGTTGCTTGAAATGTAGTTGAAAAGTTACTTATAATTAGTAGAATGTCTAAAGTGATCGAAATAAAGTGTAACCGAAATTGTAAAGCTGTGGGATTTTTATATAGAAAATATGTAGATTGTTGGTACAGTAAAGGAATTTCACATTGTAGGCTACATTTGGTTTTAATGTTGAATAGATATTTCTAAAAATGTATGTTTTTGTTGAGTTATTATTACACAATTCTTTTTCTGACCTTTTTCAACCTTGCCCCTGACAAATAACCCAAATTACAAAAAAAAAGACTGAAACTAACACTAAAACTAATAAAAACTAAACTAAAACTAAGCATTTTGAAAAAATAGAAACTAAACTAAACTAGTAAACCCACTTTTAAAACTAATTAAAACTAAACTGAATTTGAAAACAAAAATTCAAAACGAAATAAAAATAAAAACTAATGAAAAATGCAAAACTATAATAACCTTGCTTGGGTGTAGTTTGACATTTGTGCATTTGACTATATATATATTTTTATTTATATATATATATATATATATATATACACTCTAAAAAATGCTGGGTTGTTTTAACCCAATTTTGGGTCAAATATGGACAAACCCGAAATGTTGGGTTAAAAATGTAATGTAAAAATTTAACCCAACGGCTGGGTTAGTCCATATTTGACCCAAAGTTGGGTTAAAACAACCCAGCATTTTTTAGAGTGTACACACTATTTATCCATTCAAGATACATATATATACAGTCTAAACAATGCTGGGTTGTTGGGTTGCAAATTTGGGTCAAATATGGACAAATCCAAATGTTGGGTTAAAAATGTAATTTAAAATTTTAACCCAACTTCAACTTTCACTTTCAACTGTAATTTTTTTAATTACATTTTTAACCCAACATTCGGATTTGTCCATATTTGACCCAACATTTGGGTTGAAACAACTCAGCATTTTTTAGAGTGTGTATCCATTCAAGATACACACACACACATATGTGTGTGTGTGTGTGTGTATCTTATAAGCACCAGAGTCAAATGTCAACCTATATATTTAGTGTGTTATTAATGCTTTATCAGTGTTAATTTAAGTGTGTATTATTTTTTGACTGCTCTGTTTTAGACTACGGTGAACTAGACTTGGCCAAACATACAGTCCACAAAGCTTGATCTTCATTAGTGATGATCTTTGTGAGTTGTCGTGTGATTTTCTTTGTCTAAATATGGAGCGACTGTGATCGTGTCTGCCGTTAAATAGCATTACCTTGGCATGGCTTGTGTCTGTAAATGTTCTGTACTCCACAGGATGATGATTCTTCAGATGTTACTCCGTTTGCTTGTGTTGAAGTCCTGTGAACCTGTGCCTTGCCTTTGAAATGCCCGTCTCACAATTGGCGGTCGTACTTTTTGTTTTGTTCGAGTTCAAAGATTGCTGCCATGATGCTACACATCAGTGCATTACTATTGCTAACAGAATTGACGCATGTTTTGGTTTTAATAAAAATCAACCCCTGGGTTATTTATTCTCTTTTCTCTGTGCAGTACAAACAAGTGGAGCAGTACATGTCCTTCCACAAACTTCCGTCAGATTTCCGACAGAAAATCCACGATTACTATGAGCACCGTTACCAGGGCAAGATGTTCGATGAAGAAAGCATCCTAGAGGAACTGAACGAGCCGCTCAGAGAGGTGAGCTTGTGTTTGCTTATCTGTGTGTTTTGTAAAGGTCTGTCAATGTCTGTAAACATCTGTGGGAAAAAAAATTCCCAGAAGACCCTGCAGTTGTCTCCGAGCTTTCCGAAACAATAAAACCACGCTGAAACGGGAACAGCTTCCAAACTAATTTATGTCACAGTTAACAACTAAATCTCCTCTGTGAATGGCTTCCAGCTCTCACTGTAATGTTGTTTAAGAGAGCGGAACTAATGTTGTGTTATTTGTGTATTGATGTTCGAGTTTGGATATGATCCTTTATGGCTGAATCGCACCAAGAAATGTAAAATGTCATCAAAAAAAACTATATGCATATTTATGGAATCAAATTTTCAGGATCGGTTTTGCCATTATTTGCCATTTATCTTACAAATTCTTATTACCATGTGTCTAATAGTTTTGTAAAATGTTACATTTTATATCTCCAATATAATGAATAATTTAGAATATATATATATAATTAAATATTTTTCTGATATTGGCATGAATTAAATTCAGGAAAACAAATACAAGGCAATAATATACTATATATTAATTTTTTCAATGCATATTATTATTATTATTGTTATAATGTTATATATATGTTATAATGTATACTGTATATATATTTTGAGTGTGTGTGTGTGTGTAAACACATTACCTTACAAATTCTCAATTCTGTATTCATTTTCTAAAATTTTACATTTTATATTTTAAGTATACAAAAAAAAAGGAAATATAACTTAAATTCTTTTCTGTTATAAGTGTAGATTAAAATCAGTAAAACAAGTTTGGATATGATCCTTTATGGCTGAATCGCACTAAGAAATGTAAAATGTCACCAAAAAAAAAATATATATATATATATATATGCATATATATCAAATCAAATTTTCAGGATCGGTTTTGCCATTATTTGATATATGTCTAATAATTTTGTAAAATGTTAAATTCAATATCTCCAATATAATGAATAATTTAAAAAATATATAATTACTTTTTCTGATATTGGCATAAATTGAATATAGCTAAATAAATATGCAGTATATTAAGGCAATAATTATTATAATTATTGTTATATATATATATTTTTATTTTTATTTTTTGTGTACAACACAAGTTTTTTTACCTTACAAGTTTTCTAAAATTTTTAATTTTATATTTTAATACTGAAATATTTTAATATTTTAATATTATAATACTTTAATATTTAATTTAATATTTTATACTGATATATATATTTTAATGTATATTGAAAAAATAAAAGAATGTAAATATAGAGTTTAAATTGTATTTTCTTATTTTAGCATAAATTAAATTCAGTACAACAAATGTAAACGCTGTGTATGTGCAATATGTGTGTATGTATTTCTCTCACCCTGCGGTCTTTCCATCTGCTGTCAGGAAATCGTGAACTTCAACTGCCGTAAGCTGGTGGCCTCTATGCCCCTGTTCGCCAACGCCGAACCCAACTTCGTGACAGCCATGCTGACCAAGCTCCGTTTCGAGGTCTTCCAGCCGATCGATTACATCATCCGTGAGGGAACCATCGGCAAGAAGATGTACTTCATTCAACACGGCGTCGTGACAGTGATAACCAAAGGAACTGTGGGGCTGAAACTTTCTGACGGCTCCTACTTTGGAGGTACAAGCCCTCTTGTATTAAGCACGTAAATTAGATGGGACTTAAACCATCACTTCACTTAATTAAACTGCTCAAATCCGTATTGAACCTCATAACATTTTAAATAATTTAAGCCAGATATGGTGTGACCTCATCCATTTTAGTTCTTTGCATATTGATGTTAAATTAATTGAACTTTAAAGGCAATCAAAATATTCTGCTCTGGCCTGACATTGATATTTAGATGTCATATGTAATTTAAGCACTTGTTATTCTCTAGCCAGTCTTTCTAGTAATAATGTCACAGTCTTCCATCTGCAACCAGTTCTCTGTCTAAAATAGTTTTTCTGACATCATTCAACAAACTCTTTTTTTATATTTGATGGTGAAGTGTGTAATTTCTGCACTACCAAATGGAATTGCAAATGATATTTTAGAATTTTTTCCAACACATCCACACCTGCTATTGGTCAGACAAACAGGAAGCTCCGCCCCTAAATCTGCTCAAATAAACAAAACAATGTTTTGAAAGCACCAAAGTGTTGATACCATTCCGGAAATGTTTGAGACGCTGTCTCCCCTCTTTTTGAGAATGGGGGTTAAAATGCACTATTGTTGGTATTTCAAGAATGCTTTGAAATATACCCAAGTTTGGTCTTGTTTTAAAGAAAACACTCAGCAGATTATTGCTGAAGTGAAAACACTTCAAAAAAATTAAAGTATGAAAAAGTTATGGAAGTTTAAATTTACAGTAAATCAAATATACTGTACTATATATTTTTTATTTTATATTAAATATATATTTTTACTCTAAAATGACTAATAAAATCAAAGCCATAAATCTAACCAAGTTATGTTCCAAATTTGAAGTTGATATCACAAAAATGTAAGTTCCCATGATTTTATTTAGGCGTAGTACCAAAAATAGCCACCGGGTTGCCATACATTCCATTGGATTTAGATTTACACCCCACACTTTTCTTAAGTGGCCTCTGTCTGCTCCGTTCCTCTCCAATGGTGTCTGCTGATTGCAATACCTCATTAAAATAAGGTAAATACAACTACTAAACACATAGTCAACATTATGAAAAAAAGTGACTACTTCACACAGAGAACCTCTCAATCATTATGTCACAGAACCGTTTTTATAACATCAAATAACTAACTAAAAACAAACTTTTTTTAAAAACACTTGAAATTACATCAACATGATAGAAACTACAATAAATGACAGAAACTATCTTTGGAAATAGGAAATGCGAAGTGTAATTTAATTGTTTAGTTGGTCTCACGTCCCATTGAAAAATACGGGGAGGCGGGGTTTATGACCAATACTAGGACCGGCCACTGGGGGGCGATCGAGACGTTTTGGCTTCACTTTTGAGGGCTTGTGCGGCATCCTTGGTTTCAACACACTACTAACTAACTCAACCAGGCCCTGCCCCTTTATTTTGCGTATGAATTATTTAAATGAGGAATATTATGACATGTTCGTTCCTGGAAGAAAACTCAAGACTACAATGGAGGTGTTTCAGGGAGTTCAGAAACACTGACACCAATATAGAGAAGAACTCCTGCTGGAGAGACTTTATTCATGCTTAAACAGCGTCATTACACACTAAAGAAAGCTGAAAATGTAAGACAGCATAATAGGTCCTCTTTGAGTCTCTGAATCCTCTGTAAAGCAGAACTGCAGCAGAAGTCGATGGTTCTGAGCTGGTGGAGAGATCCAGACCCTGTTGAACCCAGAAAGTGTGTGTGCTGAGATGTGCTCTGCTGAGGAGTGAAACACAATCCTCCCGCAGCCTTAAATCCGCATGAGTCAGTCGTTTTTCAGCTGCAGAGGACAGGAGGGTTTGGAAGAGGCTCTCGGCGCGTGACCTTGGAAAGGTCAAACCGATGTCTTGTGTAGCCTGAGATAAAGAAAGAAAAGAGAGAAGCCGTCTGATCCTGTGGGCATTGTGTGGAAGGATCAGGCTCAGTTTTACCCGGAGGAAAACTCTATTGCTCTTTTCACAGCTCTGACTTAATGGAGGTCTCGTTTCCGTTTCATTTAAGCATCAGACTTGTTGATGTTTCTCCTGAAATTCATTTGGGAGGGAAAAAAATAGACACAAACAAGACAAGTATTAACATGCAGCATAGAGCTATCAAATAGATGTGAAATTTCACTTCATGAGCAAATACAAATAATTATATGATATTTTCAGTGGTGGAATGTAACAAAGTACAAATACTTTGTTACTTTACTTAAGTACATTTTTCACGTATCTTTACTTTACTTAAGTAGAATAAATAGTGCCTACTTTTTACTTTTTGCAGAAATTTTTATACTTTCTACTCCACTACATTTCTACATTTTCTTTTACATTTTCTGATCACTTTTTCCCCGGCCAAAACGTAATCTGACCGTCCGTCCATTGCACGTTTGTCTCACCGGTGACGTTTGGTTGCCATAGATACATCAACCCGGTCACACTGAATGCGTCAGTTTATGCGCGAAAATTTGTTTTTACGTGCATAGGAAACGCACCGTGTGTAATATACGTTTGGTTAGGATTATGGCAAGCCAAGAGGTTCAGAATTACACCATAAATTAATCGTGTTTACTGCCAAACATAGTTATTAATATATAGTAAGGATAAGCATGATGTGTAGCCATATTGCCTAATTGCAAGCTTGTTTCAGAAATGGTGACAACTATTTTTTTCCATCATTATTGAACATCATTATTGGAGTATTAGCTGGAACGAGTTAGAATTAAATGTTTTATTAATCATTAGAAAATAGACATTTAAAGAATAAATTGTTATGCAAGTACTTTTACTTTTAATACTTAAAGTACATTTAAAATCTGGTACTTTTTACTGAAGTATGGTTGTCATTGTGTTACTTCTACTTTTACTAAAGTAAATATTTATCTGGTTATTTGTACTTTTACTTGAGTACTGAGATTCAGTACTTCCTCCACCACTGGGTATTTTGAGTAAAATATTGTGTTGTATTTTGACATTATTTTTAGAATAAGTAAGCATATTTCCCTCAAAATATATTGGCAAAGCATTTCACACACACACAGAACTTGTGACGCAGAACTTTCTTGACAGTTTCCTTGTGATTCACACTTACTTTTTATGTAAAAGCTATGTATATGAAATATGTGTTAAGTATTATAGAAATTATAGAGCTATATGATGTATTTGATACGAATAGCAGCTCAGATCATTTGCTCTCAAATTCATTAACAATTATTTCAGCCTAATATTGAGATCTGACTTTTGATTGCACACTTTTATCAAAAAATATTTTTCTCCAAAGAAAGATCTGAAAATCAAAGTCTCCATTTCCTCTAATTTAATCTCATTGTTGTAGAATACTTTTTATTTATGGGTTATAGTAGCTTTCGTGTATGTGAGGGTGGATTTTAAAGGTTTATAATCAAATGAAGGAACAAATTAGATGCAAATGAGGTTTTGTGTCCACAGGAGTGTTTGCGTCTGCACCGGCACGTGTGTGTGTTCACCTTTATGTACCTGTGATTGTAGCTTTAATTTACTGCCTTTAGTTTGATGAATGACCCCGGCTGCTGGAATGACAACGCTCTCTAAAGTGAACCAAGGTTTCCCAGGTTGTGTATTGGATTTTTTGGATTGATTAGAAAAGCAGACAGGGAAATGGACCGTACACACACAGGTCCCTGATGGATGGGTCAGGATTTAATACGCAGAATGACACACAGCATCTACGATGAAAGATGTTTATTATCTTCTGAGGCTTATGGGTTATGTCTCTCCCATCCTAAGGAACTAGTTGTGTTCCAATATCGCATAATCCCACTCTAAAACATGCTGGGTTGTTTCAACCCAAAGTTGGGTCAAATATGAACAAACCCAACCATTGGGTTAAAAATGCTGGGTTGTTTCAACCCAAATTTGGTCATATATGAACAAACCCAACTGTTGGGTTAAGTCTTAAGGCCCGTACACACCGGGACGAATATCAGCGTGCATTATTCGCTAGCGTTTTTCGACACGTTTTTTGTGTTCTCACTCAAGCGGTTTTCGCTGACGATGAGCCGAGTGAACGTGCAAATTCATTCCCTGACAATAGATGGCGCTTAATGTATTGATATCTTGCCTGGCATCTTCCTCGTCTTCCGGCAGTGTAGACGGTGGCGTATATTTTCTTTGCCGTAGCGTATGTGTGCTCGGTAAGACCGTTTTGAGTTTGAGCGCCCCCAAGTTGTGTTTTACTGTAACTTCAGACACACCAGACACGTGTGAGCAAAAGCGGCAATCTCATTGGTCGGATTGTTTTTGACGCGGCGTGTCAAACCAAAAAAATGAACCCGAGGCGGTTTTTTTAAAAATGACGCATTTTCGCGTGGCGTTTTTGCGCCCTTTGTTTAGTCACGAGGCGTTAAACGTCGCGAATATCGTCGCCTTTTATTTTCATTTCTTTTATTTTCTATTCTCTTTTCATGGTAATGCAACACGAAATAACACAAGAACGATTTAACAAATCCAACAAACACAACAAAAGTACATTCCATGACAAAAAGACATTTTTAACCCAATAGTTGGGTTTGTCCATATTTGACGCAACTTTGGGTTTAAATATGTGTGTGATGATCTAAGTATAGACACAAAATAACCTTGAATGTTCACCATGAAACAATGAAAATATGATGATTGGGGCTGAGATGTATGACGTATATACATCTTTTTTTTTTACAATGAAAGTCATTGGAGTCGAGTGTTGTTTGTAATAGTTCTTCGAAATTTCTTCTTTTATGTCCCCAGAAACAGGTTTGCAGTGACATAAGGGTTGAGTCAATTATGAGCGAATTTGCCTTTAAAATGGCCATGGGGTTCGGGAATTTAAATTTTTTTTGCACTGAAATAATTACACATTTAATAAAGCAACAATATATGCAGCACTTTACAATACGCATTCAAATCACATCCTTTTGAATTAAGTCTGATAAAGTTTAATTACATTCTGCGGGCATATATTTAAATTCATTCCCTGTTCATTGAAGGACTCTTCAGGGTTTCAGTTTTCGAGCAATTTAAAAACACTTGCCATCTAGAAAAGGTCTCAGAGTCACTTTCCCCTGATGAACGCCACTATCAAGATGTTATTAAATTATTCTGGTACTCATGTCCTGTCCTTAAATCTTGACTGTGTGTGAGTTTGACCGTTTTCCTCTCTTTCAGAGATCTGTCTGCTGACGCGGGGTCGTCGTACGGCAAGCGTGCGAGCGGAGACCTACTGTCGCCTGTATTCTCTCTCCGTGGACAATTTTAATGAGGTATTGGAGGAGTATCCCATGATGAGGAGGGCCTTTGAGACCGTGGCCATCGACCGACTGGACCGCTTAGGTAAGCGAAACCAGAATCGCCTTCTGAAGTTTCTCAAAGAACAATAATGTGAACATTTTAATGGCTTAAAGGATTATTCAGGGTTAAACACTGTGTCGATTAGGACTTAATATTGACTTCTCAATTATGGTGGGCTTGTAAAAAAAAGGACTGAAAACCTGTTAACAGTAATGCACTTGTCTCTTTGACTTCTAATGTAGCCTAACTTTTAAAGAATATACTAATGTATGAATTGAATATGTTTTCTGACTCTCAACTGCATGCTATTTCCGATTACTTACTGTAAATCAAAATATATTATAGTTTGAATTTATATTAAAGGGTTAGTTCACCCAAAAATGAAAATGAAGTCATTAATTACTCACCCCCATGCTGTACCAACCCCGTAAGACCTTCGTTCGTCTTCGGAACACAAATGAAGATATTTTTGATTAAATTTGAGAGCTGTATAACTACCACATTGGCTCCTAAGGGAATGACACTTGATGGCCCAGAAAGTCAATGAAGAAAATGTTTAAATATTCCATGTGACTACCGTGGCTCAACTATAAGTTTATCAAGCGACGAGAATACTTTTTGTGCGGAAAAAACCCCCAAAAATAACGACTTTATTCGACTATTCCTTGTTGGCCTGAAACGAGACTTCAAGAGATTTCCACGACGCATGCGCGAGAATTGCGATCTCCTTTAACTACTTCAGTTCAGTTCTCGCGCATGCGTCGTGGAAATCTCTTGAAGTCTCGTTTCAGGCCAACAAGGAATTGTCGAATAAAGTCGTTATTTTGGTTTGTTTTTTTGCACAAAAAGTATTCTCGTCGCTTGATAAACATATAGTTGAGCCACGGTAGTCACATGGAATATTTAAACATTTTCTTCATTGACTTTCTGGGCCGTCAAGTGTCATTCCCTTAGGAGCCTATGTGGTAGTGAGACAGCTCTCAAATTTAATAAAAAATATCTTCATTTGTGCTCCGAAGACGAACAAAGGTCTTACGGGGTTGGTACAGTGAGTAATTAATGACTTAATTTTCATTTTTGGGTAAACTAACCCTATAAATACAATTGAGTTTTAGTTCAACTAACCCATGTAAGTAGGACTTATGTACATCTTTTACCTTCTGCTAAGATAGCCTATATGTGACTTTTTGCAACAAAAATGCAAGGATTATGAAACCATGCAAGCCCCGCATATTTTGCGTGGAAATCAGCAATTTATGCGGCGAAAGTGCGGCGTATTTTGAAAAAAAATGCGATTGCATAATTGCGATTGCAATTGTACGAAATGTATTTATGTATTTCTGAAATGTATTTTAAATAATGTAATAATTTAAGGCAGAAACAATGAGCTGACTGAAGTAATGAATACTTGTTTGTTAACGAATAATGATGCCGTTTAGAAAAAATTGATGAAAAAAATTAATCTCTCGTTACAGGAAAAAAGAATTCCATCCTAATGAACAAAGTGCAGCACGACTTAAACTCCGGCATCTTAAACAACCATGAGAACGAGATGATCCAAGAGATCGTGAAGTACGACCGAGAGATGGTGAAGCTGATCGATCAGCAGCGGCCGCGTGCCATGTCCATGACGCCCTCCATCCCGCCAGGGATGTTTGCTCCGCCTGGCCATTCGCAGGGCAGCTCTGCCATCGCTTCTCTTCAGCAAGCTGTAGCGATGAGCTTCTGTCCGCAGTTCGGTGGCCCGATGATGGGTCCGAGCACCTTGCAGTCGCCCAGGATGGTCCGGCGGTTCCAGGTTGTGCAAAGCCTTGCCAGCCCGGTTTCGTCTTCTCCCCAACAGTCTCTCCCGCCGCTTGGCGCGTTCGCCGCCGTTGCAATGGCCAGTCCGCCGGTGCAGAGTCCGCTAGCAGCGGCAGGCGGACGAACTTTCCAGTACGGGAGTGGCCCGATGGGTGCGCGCTCCGGATCGCAATTGTCCCTCATCCAACAGCATGCTCCCAGTCCCACACGGCCCAAAGGATCCCAACCGTTGCACCAAACAGGCAGCTTGACCCAGGATGATAGAGCCCTGTCTGCATCACAACCCTCCCTGCCACAAGATGGCGCTCCACCCGTCGTGCCCAGCCCACCACCGTCGACCCGCGTGTCCTCAACATCGATCGGCCCACCTCATCCCGCCGTCCCGGGGCCTTCCGGTGTCCGGAGCGCAATGCATCAGAGAATGGCACTGCCACACCAGGCGTCCGCAGCCGTGTCTGGGATTTACCCGTCCACAACGCCCCCTACAGGCACTCCCCCCGTAACGGGACCGGACTCGGCTATACGCAAGAAAGATTCAATAGTCAGCCTTCCCGAGACGGACTTCACAGCCAGATCCCGGCTCTCGTCCAACCTCTGACGAGGACTCTGAGACTATTTGCAATACTTTTTTGTGAGTCAAAGTTCGTTCTTTTTGCTCGAGTACCGCGCTCGTAGGATGGCTTTTCATAGGAACCAAAGGGACAGACTTAAGGTGCGGTCACATTTACCATTGCATTCAAGGGCGAAATTTATATTTATGCATCTAGAAGATGCTTTTATCCAAAGCGACTTACAAAAGAGAAACAAAAGTTCTTAATATGCAATGCCAGGTTTAATTGACAACTAGATTAGGAATCAAGCTAGAGAAAAGAAGTGCATTCGTTTGAGGTTGTGAGATAGTTAAAGGGATACTTCAGGATTTAGCATTAAGCTTTGTATGAGTAGAAAACCTGTAGTATTTTTCGAGTTACCGTGCTTTCCACCCTCATATCCCCCTGAGACGAGAGATTTATGTGTTTTTTGTCTGGAAAAAATCCTCAGATGACGCAAAAATCGTCATTGGAGGATTTTTTTGTCCAGAGGCTAAAGACTACAGTCAGTAGTCGGGTCTGTCCCGCATGTTCTCAACCCGCCCATAGAGGGCGATCTCACTCACAGAATGAACACATAGTGTCGGCCATCTTTGTTTGGAAGCTAAGCTAGCAGGCTCTTGTTCTGTGGACAAAGCTGAGTAGTCGGGGTTACCATCCTCTTTTCCGGCCGTCGATGTCCGGGATTCAGCTTTTGCTTTCTGCAGTCGCCATTCATTGTTTACATGCACAGCTTTTGTTTCAATCTGAATTCATTCCGATTGGTGGATCTGAATGTAGTGTTTACATGAACACTAAACAAGTGTGTGTTTTAACATCGCTAAGAAAACTCCCGCTCCTCCGTGAGAGATACGAGACCGGCGCGTCTCACAGGTGTCGCTCATCGGTAATCACGCCACTGGCCTCGCGCCGTTCTTCCCTCACTCGTCCCGCTCGCCACAGTAAACATGATGAATGGCGACTGTAAAACGCAAAAGCCGAATCCCGGACATTTTGGGCGATCTCGAAACACATTTTCGGCATTAGACTCACTAGTAGCCTAGACTTGTTGTTTAACTACTGCGCTCTGTTACCGGTAGGCGTGGCCTCCTAGGGCAGCAAAGCAAGTGCATTGTGGGAGTTGTAGTCTTTCATCCACATCAGCCAAAAATACATTTTCTGGCTTTTCTCAGTCTAGAAAGCTCCAAATTCAAAAATAATTTCACATTTCTTCTTCATAAATTAAATTCCGGAGGTGAAGTATCCCTATAAGTGATTGCAGAAGAGGCGTGTCTTCTGCGTACTGAAAGATGTGATGGTTTCAGCAGTTCGGGTTGGCAGCTAATTCCACCAGAGAGGGTGACGGTTTTGGCATCACTCATTAATTGACCTTCGCTGGTGGGAGGGAGCATACACATGAAGAAAATGACACATCATTTGACTCATTTTCAAGATGGCCACTTGAATTTACCACACTGGCTTCTTGATTTGGAAATGAGTTCTCTGTTTGCCCATGAAATATCGCTAATGTGACCGCACCTTTACCGCTAATAGATTTAACATGGCCTCGACTCCACCCGCTAGCTAGTGCCGCCCCTGTACCGCTTCTGATGCCTCTTGATATACTCGTCTCTATCGTCCCGAGTGAAAGGGAGAAATCCTGTCGTGTGTTACATGGTGTTTTCCGTAGAGTTCGTTCAATGCAATCGGGGCGACTAGAAAATCAGGGACTTGCAAGAGATGACAATGATGACGCTTTGTGAACGTGTTTTTCCTTCTTTCTGTATAAGCTCTACTTGTAGCAATCTAATTAACTGTCTTTCACTTTGTTGTAAAATATCAATGAAAAAAAAAAAAGTATTATGGACCGCTGGTCGATCTTATATCTTAATGTAAATAAGAAGGGAAAAAAGGGAAGAAAAAAAAAAACAAAACAAAGAAGAAGTTATAATAGAAAACACACAAATTGTATTTACTCGAAAACCAAAGTTGAGCTTGAACACAAGTTTTGGTTGTGTCTGTGTCAACTGAGAAAAACAAGTCAAACTAAAACATTGTCTATTTAACTGCCTTGATTCCGAGTTTAGAAGCCATATACATGGTTCGTGTGTGCGTGCGTGTTGATTTGTGCACATACGCTTATCATTGTGTTTTATGGAACGGGAGTGTGTAATGCTTGCGTTTTTACGATAAAGGCAATACTTCACTGCATCGGGGTTGCACTGATAGTTGAGACTTGAATGCAATGGGTCTTTAGCAGAACTCATTTAAATTAGCAGGCAAACCAAAATAATCATGCTGTTTTCAGTGATCCATGTTGACATGCAATATAATTCTGCAATATCCTTGCCCTGCCTTTTATATGAAAGCTTCATAAGCAATTTAATCTGCTTTATTCAGAGAATGTTTGAAACCTCATCTGGATAAGGTTGTGCAGCTTCCGTTGTGTATCATCAACTTTGTCTTTGTTTTCTGAAGTTTAGCGGTATTTGTTTCAGTGATGAAAACGGGTTTTGTAATGTCCCATGGTTCTTTATTTATTTGCTTTTTTATTGCTGGGAAGGACAAACAGTCACAATAAAATGAAAAAGTCACAATTTTGAAAGTCAGAAAGGCGTAGCCCTTAAAAAATTGTAATATTTACTTATTCTAAAATACTAATATTATCTCTATAATGTAATTGTATTGTAAAATATAATATCTGTTAATTTATTCTATATTTGACAGTGGCATTTTTATAACGTTGCGTGTCGCAAACATAGATTCTGATTTGCACAAATGACTGAGTATCTAAAACATGCTGCATATTAATGGCCTGTAAACGTAATACACAGTTTGTGCGTGGGCTCAGTTTGCAGGCCTGTGAGCGCTGGCTGAATTGTGGATTTGTTGATTGCTTGCGAACAGATGTAAACTATTGGGTTGATTTACGAACTTGTCTCTTTACAAGAATGTAGTTCGTTTGTGTTTCGTTTAATTGTCAACTGCTGCAGATTTTTCTCACTTGAACTTTGAAATTGTAAATATGACGCTGTAAATTATTTCATGTGCGAACCCGGGCAGAAAAAACAAAACAAACAAAAAAAAGATTTTAGAAAAACAAAAATGAGACTGGTGCATAAAGGGTTTTGAATGTATGCCAAACGGCATTAATGATGTGACCTGAATATTAACAACTGCCATGTAAATAGATCAGTAATGATTCATGCAAAATGGAAATTGTGTGTATTTGCTGATTGTTTGTAGCGATCACGTCCTAAATACTTTAATCTGATGCGTCTAGAATGCTTTTATTTTTCTAAGTCTTGTTTGTCTGACGGTGGATCGTCGTAACACAAAGCACACTACAGTGTCCCATTATCGCCCTCTATAGGACAGGTATCACCACATTCCCGGGATGCACTGAATGACTTTTGGGGATTAAAACAGGCAGCTTAATCTATTAAAACAAAACAAACAAACAAACAAAAGTTTATCAAGATTCCCTGAAATAACAATGCATTGATTACTATCTTTTGCATTTACACTGCTAACCAATTCTGATTTTGTCTCAATGATATGCTGAGATGCATACATGTTTATGCAAGGACATAAACGTCTCTTTCAGATGTGGTTCTGGATCTATTATATACTAGCCTGGTGGTCCTACCTGACTCTCGTACACATCTCGGCGACTCTCCATTGACAAGCGTAACCAATCGCTAACGTTTGGTCGTGACGTATGACTAGCGCGCCTGAACGTCATCGTTCTCAGGCACTCCCTCTGTTCGCTGACTGGACCGGTAAAAAATTGATCGGAGAAAACCCAAGAATATATACAGCAAACCCAGACGTTGCACTGAAGGAAAATGAAAACTGAGCGGAAGTACGTAAGAGGGCGGAGCCAAGCTAATTATACACTCTTAGAAGAAAAGGTTCTATATAGAACCTTAAAAGGTTCGCATTTGGAATCTCTAAAAGGTTCTATACGGAACCCCCTTTTTAAGGGTTCAATAATAAGAATAATTCTTTGTAACCAGGAAAAAGGTTCTATTTGGAATCTTTTGGGTTCATTCATTATCATTTGTTTTGTCCTTTCCGGATTAAATATTTCATATTATTGACAAACATCAAGACCTTAAAATGTATTTATGAATGCATGTGAATTGATTATGGAGTTAATCAATATCACATGAAGAGTGCCATTTCAGTTTCTCCTCCAAAAATCAGCTTGATTAAAATGTGATATTAACAGTTTAATAAACAATAATTTAATTACAACTACAAAATATTGCAGAATAATGTAATATATGAATGAATAATAGCCTATAAAGAACCTTTGTGCCAAAAGGGTTCTTTCTTGTCATTATTGAACCTTTTTTTAGCATAAAAGTTTCTTTGGAGTTGAGTAAAGAACCCTGTGCTTCATATATAGAACCCCAATGAACCCTTTTTTCTAAGAGTGTACACTATATCTGGATGACATCTAAATATCGTGATATCATCACTCAGGGCTTAGCTAAAGAATAGTTCATCAAATAAGAAAAAAAAATTGGGATTAATTACTCACCCTCATGTCGTTCCAAACCCGTAAGACATTCGTTCATCTCAGAACACTATAAATGAAGAGATTTCTGTCCCTCAATTCATAATGAGATCGTAAAAGAAATCCATATGAATTGAGCGATTTAATCCAAGTCTTCTGAAGAGAATAGATTTCATTCTGGCTTTTATTCACATATGACTTTCAATGGAAGGACATAAATCTCCATATGTGATCCGAAGATGAATGAAACTCTAATGGGTTTGGACCGTGATGAGGGTAAACTATTCACATAGAGTGAATGGAAACATTTTGGATCTGTGCATTAGGCTTTGCAGTGTAAATGCAGCACAACACCGTGTCTACACTGGAAATGCATACATTTAACAAAAACATAATCACAAACTGGCTTTGATGCATTTTTCAAAATCTTCAATATATATTGACTTTTATGCATTTGACAAATTTTGTTGTTTTTTTCTCTCCAAGAGGCTTACATTGCTTTTAAACCAAATATTTGCTCAGTTCATGCATTCACTTGGAATTGAACCAATGATCTTGGTGTTCAATTCCCAGTGAATGCATAAACTGAGCAAATGTATACCTTAAAAGCAATGTAATGTTGTACTGTTTGAGGAACAGGAAGTTAACTATTTCCCCACCAGCATTTTCTTTTTTTATAGTTGCCAGCCGCCACCAGCATTTTTGATCATCTTCACAAATCTTCATGGCCCCCAGAATATTTAGCTCTATGAATATCTGAAAATGCAATAAAAAAAACATTATTCTAGCACCATGCATTCTTTTTTTATCAACACTCAAATGTGGGTATGTTTCATTAAAAAAAAGCAACATTTTTAACAAAAAACGTGTTTTTGAAAATCGCGTTTTTGTCAAAGACTTTGGACATAGGATTCAGACGATGATCAACATACAGATGTTTCTCAGTCCTATAGTCTGTCCTGGGTTGGCATTTCATTCGCTAACGTCAGGCGGTTATGATTTATGTCTTTTAATATTTGATGATCGCGTGCATATTTTCGCCAAAGAGTAGAGAAGAACAAGAGGCGAAACTCTGATGCTTTTTCGGTAACAGCCACTAGGTGGCGCTTCGGTAGCGCGGCCGCCATTTTGGGCTGAAAATTCCAACTGGAGTTACTGGACAACAGCACAGAGATTGCAGTTTATTGAGGTCGTAGTTTCTTGTATTAGTGAGTATTTCCATTTTATGCAACTTTACACCTTTATTACTATTTTAGTTACCAACTCCACTAGGCCTGAAATATATTTTGTACGTTTTTATCCCCCGGATCATGCGACAAACGTGATCATTGATGCGCTGTGTCCGTTATCCTATAACTTTAATTGCCACTTTGGACAGTGGCTGTGTTTTTTTGTTTACATAGTCTTGCTTTAACGGTCATTAATATAAGATAATACTGCAAAAAAACAGTAACTGTAAAGCTATTCTACTGCTGTTATATATTTATTGGCCAACATTTACATTTTAGTACATTTAACGCTACATTTATTTCATTGATAACTTATTTTTGTATGTATAACGTTATGTGTACCTCCTGGAAACGGTCTAACGTTATTATAACTTTATGAACTGATATCTCTTTATTCTTACCTGTCACACTTAATGTGGAGAGTAATATAATTAATTAAACCCTTGAACTTCCCTGTCTCAAGTTAGGAGGGAGAAAAGCCTGGTTTTAACTGCTATAATGTTAACTGTTGTGAGTTAAAATAATCACCTAATTATTTCAACCTAAAATGACCTCTGCACTGGACTAAATATATGTATAATATATGACTGCCGAGTCGCTTTCACCCCAAAATGGCGGATGCGTTGGGCTGCTGCTGGGCGCTGGTGACCATTTCACAAGATGTAAACAACACTGGTCCAGAAACACTTCCTGTTTCAGTTTGTAACTGTTTTCTTTATTTCACATGTAAAGAAAACATCTCAAAGATGTTTGTTTAACTTTTTGATTCAGTTTTAAATGTTGGTTGTATTTTTTTCCCAGCTTTTATGTAGTGTTAAAAAACTGAAACAGGAAGTGCTTCTGGACCAGTGTTGTTTACATCTTGTGAAATGGTCAATATCGCTTGTTTCTGCTTCTTCTTCACCTGAGATACTGTACAACAGTGAAAACACAGTGAATTCCATCAATGGCGGGAAAAGAGTTCAATTTCCTTACAAAACATTATTTCACACAAAGGGGAAAATAAATGGTTAATGTCCAGAAATACGTAAAGGGCGTCCGGCAACTGAAGGCATTCGCTTCTGCTGTTGATTATAATGCCAGTGATTTGCTTTTGAAATGCTTCTGGTGTAGACACGGTGTAAAGCCATCATTTCAATCAGTCCTAAAAATCCCCAACCTCCACACACACCTCCTGTAACAGAGTCGGATGATATTAATCTGAGAATGGAAGCTAGGAAGTGACATCAGTCAATCAGATGGCTCAATGAAACTTTATCACAGGTTTGCAATGTAATCCCTCTTATTTGGTTTCTCAGTAAAGGCACATTTAGTGCTCGAATAAACATTTCCGCTCTGCTAGGCCTTTTTTTGTTCTTCCGCCCAAGGACACAAACCTTGTCTCAAATCCACAACCGTTGGTCGAAAGCGATTGGTATGGCAGTGAATGTATGCGCATAACTGGACCGTAATGGTTTTAGCCCTAATTAAGCTGCTGTCTGATTGTTTGAATGGAGATCGCAGCCAAATGTGAGTGTTTTAGCGTTGCTCTAGAGCAGATTCATATAGTACCCGTTCACACTCACCGCAGGCCTCGTCTGCCACTGCTGTTAAGTCATCTGTGTGGAAAATGTGACAGTTTTATTCTGCTTTTCCAGCACGGAAAGGCTGGCAGATGCGAGGCAATCTTCCCTGCAAGCACTTGAAGGACAGGCGGACAGATTGACTGAACATTCCTCCATATTTCCCGGCATCAAATGTAAATCAGGGTACTTTATGTTTCTGTTATGAGAAGTGTTTTTTTTCTTTTTCTCTCTGTCTGTCTGTTTTTTTATGTTTTGACAATGTGCCCCAATGCACAATGTACTGTAAATACCTAGTGCCTAGTATATCTAGTTTCCAAATAGTCTATTTTTAGTCGTATGTGGCTCCATGAAAGACGAAATGCAAAGTTTGTCTTTTCTTTTTTTTTTTATATAAAGGGAATGTTCACCCAAAAATGATTTGTTTTTAAAGCATCTTCTTCACGCTGTTCTTTTCTGTACAAAGTTCATCATGACCACGTTTATCAAACTCTAATATATATATATAAAACCCCATAAAACTATATACTGGAAAAGTCATTTTGTCTTGTTTTCCAGTGCATATATCTGCACATCCTTAAAGCAATATGTTTGAGAAGCAAAAACATTTAAAAAAGGGGGAAAAAAAGTATCAAAATGAATGAGTTTATGTTTAAAAAAAAAAAAAACATTCTTTAGGCCTATATATTATTTCTTACTTTCTTGGGTGAACTCGAATTAAAAAAATTTTAACAAAACTTTTTAAGTGAAATTATCTTGATTTAAGAATGTGTGGATATTTGTACTGGAGAACAACACTGCAAAAATGCTTTTCTTACTTTGTGTTTTTGTCTTGTTTCCAGTCCAAATATCTAAAAAATTCTTGAATCAAGATGCATTTACTAAAGTTAAATTACATTATATCTTATTTTCTGAGAAAAAATAAAATAAGTTTTTGCTTAAAGCAAGCAAAATTATCTGCCAATGGGTTTTTAGTTCAAATGGATATTTAATTTTTAATAGTTTTAAAGGGATTGTTCACTTTGAAATTAATGTTTGGTATGTTTTAGCTTACCTCAAGGGCATCCAAGATGTAGGTGTCTTTGTTTCCGCAGTATTTTCAATTTTGATATTTTTAGGTCAAACCGTTCTTGTCTGGCAGTCATATAATGGAGGTCTATGGTCACCACCTCAAAGAGCATGCACAGAGAAGTCCAAATTAAACATGATTTAATGACTCGTAAATGTAAGTACACATTGATGGCCTAAGACACAAAACGAGCGGTTTGTGTGAGAAAACGAACAGTATTTATATCGTTTTTACGTCTTGTAACCACAGCCACGTCCAAGTGATCTGAGGGCGTGGCCGCTTTGTGGCTGTAATTACATAAGGTAAAAACTATATAAATACGGTTCGTTTTCTCACACAAACTGCTCGTTTCATGTCTTAGGCCATCAATGTTTATTAAATCATGTTTATTTTGGACTTCTCTGTGCATGCTCTTTGAGGTGGTGACCATAGACCTCCATTATATGACTGACCTAAAAATATTTTAAAGCTGAAAATACTGCGGAAACAAAAATCTTGGATGCCCTTGAGGTAAGCTAAAACATACCAAACATTAATTTCAAAGTGAACTATCCTTTTAAGCAAAAGCTCATTTTACTTCTCAATTAAATGCTTCTTGATATAAGAATTTGTAGATATTCGGACTGGAAACAAGAAAAAAAAACACCATATAAGAAAGTGAAGACGAAAATCATTTCGTGCAGTTTTGTGTGTCGTCATGCAGATTTTAATTTATGCGGTTATTTATGAGTTAATAAACCCAGTTTTTGTCCTTTTTTTAAAGATTGTCAGAGATCGCTGTATGAATAACCTGAGTGAAGATTCTCCAAAATTTCTCCTTTTGTGCAAAAAAACAACAGTATAAAGATTCAGAAGGCCATAAGGGAGACTAAATAAACAGCATTTTTTATTTTTGGGTGAATTAATCCTTTTAACCTTGCAATATGTGTACAGTAGCTGCTAATTAGTGTTAGTGAAACGAATAACCCAGCATAATCTCCTCGTGTGGGGAAACACGACTTGCACATTTCTGTTTGTCTGGAACCCTGAGCTGCATGTCTGTGTACGGGACATTGGGAAGCAGCCAGACTTTACTCTGATGATGAGAGGTTCTGTGTGTTTTGCTGTTGCAGATCATAGACATCACAGCAGATTCATTGATGACGAGACTAAAAAGACTTCTTAGTGATTCCCAGCACAATTGCACATATAAACAGCAAATGCAATAAGATGTTACAGTTTAATATCACAATCAACTGCAAAAAAAAAAAAAAAAATCGTGCATAGTATTTATTATTATTTTTTTTTATATAAAAATGTCTAAAATTATTAAAACAAGATACAAGAATTATTTTTCTTATTGCACTGGAATATGTTTTTTTTCTTGTTTTAAGCACTTCATTTTTATACATTTTTCAGTAAACGCATACATTTTGTTACTTTCGTAATTGTATTTTGATTTAAGAATGTTTGGATATTTGTACAGGAGAGAAACACTGAGTAAGAAACCGAGGGTTACTAATTTCTACATTTTTCAGTTTGAGGTAAACATGAAATTGCATCTGCAATGGATTTTACTGCAACAGGATATTGGGAATTGCTTGGGCATAAAAAAGTGAATTTTGGATTATTATGATAGCCTGTTCGCACGAAAATGCGTCTCTATAACACGCATTTTGTATTGTCGTGCAATTAATACGCGAAAATTAGTTTTTACGTGCATACGGTATGCAGTTTCCGTGTGCATTTGATACACAATTCATTTGCGCACGCACCCACACCACTCAACGTACTCTCTAAACAATCCTGGGTTGTTTTAACCCAAAATTGGGTCAAATATGGACAAACCTAAATGTTGGGTTAAAAATGTAATTTTAACCCAACTTCAACTTTCACTTTCAACTGTATATTTTGTTTATTACATTTTTAACTCAACATTTGGGTTTGTCCATATTTGACCCAACTTTGGGTTGAAACAACCCAGAATTTTTAATAGTTTATATACACATCACTACTAAACCTACCGTAACCAACCCATGCATATCCTATGCATGGAAAAACTCACTTTAGCGTAGCCTATAAATTGCGCGATAATCACACTGCATGCTATAAAGACGCATTTATTATGGTCCAAGTTCACCTTTCAGAGCATCTCCACATATTTTAATGGGGACGCTTTTTACTTTTAGATCTATTGACTACCATTGGTACGATTATAGGAAATTTGACCTGCAACAGTTGCCTAAAACTACATCTATTTGTCTATTAGTTAACATTAATCAATAGCCATTTTAATGCAAGATTTAAGACTGGAGTAGCTAACTTGCACTAAATAAGATCAGGATTGTGTATTTGGGAAAGTAAATCGAGTCCATTTTTATACATTATGTTTGATTAAAAGTGACAAGTCGCAAAAATGTAGACGCTTTCGACTATTTGAGAGGTCTGAATTGCTCTTATTAAAGTGCTGTCAGATGTGAGAACAGCAGCCTTGGATCTTGTGTCATGTGGACGCCGCTCCGTTCAGATTCATGGTTTTATATGTAAAGCCAGACTTACGGTTTATATATATATTGATGCGGAAGCTTCCAACTGTGTTAACGTAGCATCAAAAAGTGTTTTAACAAGAACACACAGACTTTGATAGTGCATACACTCTAAAAAATGCTGGGTTGTTTTAACCCAATTTTGGGTCAAATATGGACAAACCCAAAATGTTGGGTTAAAAATGTAATGTAAAAATTTAACCCAACGGCTGGGTTAGTCCATATTTGACCCAAAGTTGGGTTAAAACAACCCAGCATTTTTTAGAGTGTATAGTATCATGACTTCTCAAAGCGTTCTCAGTCTATCTTTAGTATACCGCGTGTCTCTCTTTCTATCCGCTGTCGTTTCCCATGCAAGCCATCCAATTAAATGTGTCTTGAAACGTCAGATTAGGCTGGTGTGGACTAAATGGATCCGGATTTGTGTCTATTTCTGCTGACCCAAACCCAGCGACAGCTCTGATGTGGATAATGCTGCCGTGTCCTCTGCCTCTTATTCATTGCAGCTGCATATACACACAAACATATATATGTGTGTGTGTGTGTGTGTTTATATATTTATTTGTGCAGGTGAAACTCGAAAAATTAGAATATCATGCAAAAGTTCATTTATTTCAGTAATTCAACTTAAAAGGTGAAACTAATATATTATAAAGACTCATTACATGCAAAGTGAGATATTTCGAGCCTTTATTTGTTATAATTTTGATGATTATGGCGTACAGATATGTACAGGTTTTCATATCTGTAAGCCATAATCATCAAAATTATAACAAACAAAGGCTTGAAATATCTCACTTTGCATGTAATGAGTCTATATAATATATTAGTTTCACCTTTTAAGTCGAATTACTGAAATAAATGAACTTTTGCGCAATATTAAGTATAATAATTCTATATAATAATTTGGACTTTGGGGTTTTCATAAGCTGTAAGCATCAAAATTATAACAAATAAAGGCTTGAAATATCTCACTTTGCATGTAATGAGTCTATATAATACGTTAGTTTCACCTTTTAAGTTGAATTATTGAAAAAAAATGAACCTGCGTATATGTGTGAATCACAAGATGGTAAAAGGCTGTGACTCAATTAAATACTATAAAAGTCAAACTGATTAATCGCATCTAACATAACATTTGTTTATATAATAAGACACACGCTGTGTGTATATATGAAGAGTTCAGATGCAAAAGCCTCTAAATGCCATTTGAAATTTTCTTCTTTAATGCTGATTTTTATCAAACTTGTATATTTAAGTTCAGTAATTTCACTTGAATGGCAATGATAATTACCTATTAATTGTTATTTAAGTGAAATTACTGAACTTAAATATACAAGTTTGATCAAAATCATCATTAAAGAAGAAAATTTCAAATGGCATTTAGAGGCTTTTGCATCTGAACTCTTCATATATAAATATATGTATAAATATGTATGTACACACATAAAAACTCATTATATAAACACAAACAAGATTTGATCACACGTGTATATATATATATGTGTGTTGTTTTATTTTATTTTTTATTCAATTGTGTCACAGCCTTTATCCATAATGTCATTTGCATGTATTAAATAAAGGATGCTTCATGTTGATAATATTTAATATTTATTTAATTTTACCATATTGCAAGTATCACAGTTTTACCATATTGGTTAATTATTAATTGTGAAATCAAATAGCGTGGTATTAGTTTCACTTTGTGCATGGTGTATTAAACCATTAGGCTGTTTTGTAAGGGATGAGTCTCGCTTTGCTGCTGTAATAATGGGCAGTATTTTTGAGTGAGAGAGCGTGTTCTCTGTGTGTGTGTGTGTGATTCCCTCTATGCGCTCTCACCCACTCCATTGTGCAGATATTAGTCAGCCGTCCCCATTGAAGGTCACACGAGGTGCACTGGGCTCGAGCGGTTCTGGTCCAGTTGGCAGCATGATGAGTCCCTGGCAGCGTCTCCGTCACTGTGAGTGTGTGTGTGTGTGCCAGAACCGTTCCTGTGGCAGACCCATCCCTCTTAGTATTAAACCATAAGACTCCAACGCCAGACGCTGCTCACGTCGTTCAGCGGGCCTTGTTCTGATAGTGCCAGCCTGTTTCTGTGTCTTCCTAACAGGACTAGCGTGAGAAAACAAAAGCACATAATCTGTGTGTGGTTTATGACCTGTGGTGGTGTCGTGCCAAACCCGA